CAAAAAGTTTCGTGCGAAAAATTCAGAACAAATTGGAGATAATTTTTTCAGGCACCATCATCCGAGGTGACGTCAAAGAGCAAATGCGAATATTTTCTGCAAAAGATTCCCGGGATGAATCCCCTAGTGCTCACCGATTCGAATGGCAAGAAATGTCGAGGTGTGGTGGAGATTCCCGTCTGTCGTGGATACTGCAAGACGTCTGAGGTAAATTTCTCGTCGATGTGGCTCGACTTCATTCTATTCTCACTTGTTTTGAATTTTACATTGTCCTTGCCTATTCCTTTTGATTGTCTTCGATTACAATATATTCATTCCTCGAAAAGGAGAAAAAGGAATCGAATCCTGACTTGCATAAAGTCGAAGCCTACCAAGCCTTCCAATCCTCCAGGGTCGATTAATTGCTACCAGACCTGTCTGCTAGGATGAGAATTCTGGCTTATACATCGACCAACCCGTGTAAGACAATGGATGGACTACATCGCGTTAGCAACCGCCCACCTACACCGAATCAAAGCAGCATGTGTGGCGCATCCAAAAAGGGACTGATCAACATTGAGTGCTTTCCCACTTTGGCGAGAAATTACGTGCGCCATAAAGCACGTCCAAACTTTATTTCTTGCCCACAAAAATTTGAAAGTAATCAATTTTATAAAACATCGAACCATGACATTTTATAACTGTAAAAAGATTTGGAGTAGCTGCCATCAGTTTTGATACAGGCCTCAATTTGTTTCTTCAGCAGTCGATGGTGCGGCGGAGGTGTTCAACGCATATTTCATTCCAAATTTCAGGGCGTTCTTTTCAGAATCACCGAACTTTTTGCATTTCGATTCTTACCAGTTCTTCAATAAACCCCAAACAGAGAATAACGGATCCGAATTCGGACTGTAAGCAGACCACGAATCCATCGCCACAAAACAGCCGATACTGGTCTCGAAGAAGTGGATCGTTGTATTGGTCCATGGGCCCGAGCGCATTCCTGTAGAAAGACAGAATTGTTATGATTCTGCTTCCAGGGCAACAGCTTTCTCAAGATCCCTTCTTGATAGACCTTCCATTGATTTCCGCGCTTTTATCGATAAAACTTGTAGAGGCCTGCCCGAAGCACTGATCCGCCCAAAATCATCAACTTTCCAGGGAAAGCTAAGATTGATTCTGAGAGTTTTGAGGCACTTAAACGGCGAACTTTTATTTGTGAAACCACAGGGCGTCCTAGGACCGCCGCACCTTGAAAAATCCCGCAACTTCTTATATTTTTCCTTCCGATCTTGCTTTGCTTGGACGGTGGGAAACTGCCCGTTTGATATACGATGAACCCCATTCCACGCTTAATTTCTTTTTATTTTTCATCTGAACAGATTTTCAGAACTTTTGGTTCTGTTCTGCACTCTTATTCATCATCTTTTTGGTCATTCCTCTTCTTAATAATTCTCCTCACACATCGGGTGTTGGTAGTCCGTTCTCATTCTCTTACGGGTTCAGTTTAGGGATGGTCTTCCTCTTTCCAATGCTTTTCAGTTTTGGACGTTCGTAAAAAACTGTGAACCTCGAAGAAATCGCTTTTACTCTTTCACAGTCCAGCTGTTGCTTTTGCCGGCATCGTATTCCAATAAAATTAATGGCTTTATATATGATTAAACTTTCTAATTTGTAAAATTGAAACTGTTTTTGCATTTGTTTTTCGATCTCAATATTTTTATGTGTTTTATTCAAAATTTATTGAGGGGGTGGGACTCAAAGAGACGCTAACCCATCTCTAATACAATGTTTGTGTCCACATTCCAATCCATATTCCAACTCTTGTCTTCGTCAAACTTGAAAACCAAATTCTTCTTCCTGCAGGCGTCCAATAAATTAAGCAACAGACAAACATTTTGAAACAACAGAAAATAGCTCACATTAGTTCCCTCATGCACAAAGCAAATGCGACATGCTGTCGAGCACTGAACAGCTTTATGTTTCGGGAACTGATCACAGGATTTATTCCGAAGTGAGTAGAATAATCTATCCTCATGAAAGCCGATTTTTTTTGGATTATTGTTTTTGCTTTACAAAACCTCAGGCGTCAAAGTGCTTTCAGATTTACCCTATAATTAATCGCAGTAAAAGAAAACCATTATGGCCCAAATACATACCTCCCCGAGCTTCATTCCCCTCACGTTCATTCACATTCCACTCTGGAAATCTCAGTACTCTAGATATCTTTTAATGATTGATTCCAGAGGGCCTATAGTTTCTTCATCGGTGTCTAGACCGTTCGCCTGTGCTTTGATTGTCACCGGTATCGAGGTTGGTCCTGCAACTTTCCTTTTCTGTCATTAAAATTGAATATGGATTTTGGCCGAGTTTAGGTAGTTCCGCTGACGGACTGCGACGAAGGCGCAGACGATTCGATCAAATCCGTCTCGATCCCTACAGGCAATAAATGTGGCTGCAAGAAGTTTCCTTTCAACTGAAGTCGTTGAGAGTATGAATAAACGTGTTTTATTCAGTCGCTACTGAATCGCTGTTTATTTCAATGAAATTTCAAGATTTCTGTTGAATGCAGACAGAACACTCTACCCTTCCAATTCTCTGCATGGTAGCCGAGAGATGCTTTACCTCGGGTTGTGATGAATAGCCAGTCTTTAAGAACAGTACGAGACCACAAGGTAACGAGGCATTTATGTGTCTGTGTGCCTGACGATCACTACCTCTGGCCATATGTACAAAGAAAAACCACATAATTAAATTGATGGAAGTCACAGAAGCTTTTAGTAGTACAAAGGTGAGCGTAATTCTGTATCTTTAACAGCTTCTATAAGCTCTGAATGCTTCAACTCCGACAAGGGCAAAGTAGTGCCAATGAAATATGAAGCAAATCTGAAGTGCTCCAAAATAAACTCCTTTTTCATCCCCTTAGATTATGAGTTCACTCGATGAGCAAACGGAGATCTTCACAGCCTAAAACGGCCATGTGGTGTGGCTGATACTGACTGCGACTTAAGAATGAACAGAAGGAAAAGTGGAACATTATGCACCTAGGAGTGCGTTTTTGGGGTGCGCCATACATCCCACTTCTATTCAGAACCTAGGACGCCTTGAAACTGAATACAATGCAGTCTCTCCAATGACTTGCGATGGCCAGCCATCAGCGTTTTTGTCAACCTGGATGGGTATGGTATCGCTTACCTGACATGGAAAGTACAGTTAGAAACGAACAAATACAACCATCTGTTGATTTTGAGCTTTACTATCCAGTCTCCTCTAGATCTGACA